TATTTCACTCCTAGCACAGCAAACAAATTTTGTCGTTCAGACATTGGAACAAAAAATGTTCCACCCTATGCTATGGGAAAGGTTCCTTCCTGTTATTTAAGGTCCCCTCCAACCCAAGTCTTTCTATGATTTGTATGATAAGCCCTCCAGAGAATTCATGCCATGGTGGATAACTTGAGCAGTTGTTTTTGACCACTGTATGTTGCTCTTCCGTCTTGTGGAAGATGCAAGAAATATTTTTTAAATAAATCCATGCCTCCTCTGTCTAGTAAAGGACAGCTAAAATCAACTGTGCTCTGTTTTAACAGGAATCAATAACCTTTTTTCCTCTAAGAAGGCAATTTATTGGCTTTTCTCTAGAAGTTCAATAGTCTTTTCAATGTTCAAATAATCTGCACATAATCCACTAAACTTTGATTCCAAGGGAAAAACAGTCAAGAAAATAGTAAAAAGACAATGCAAACAAGTGTGACTGTGCTGAACACATCTGGTAATGTCTATGAACAGGGAGAAAATTTGTACTAATTCCTTAAGACATCTCTCTTATAAATTGGGTTAACATCTTGATACTGCAGCTTTTCAGTCTCCTTGAGGCCTTCCTCAGTCTAGACTGTTCTGTATTTCTTATTCACAAAACATTCCTGGATTGATAAAAGCCACAAAGGGCCATAGCTGCTTCTGTCCTTTAAAGTCTTATTGACTCTCCTTTTTATAGCTCAAATAGAATTCTCAGGTCTTCTGATCTGCTGTCAGAAAAACACCATGGATATATGCTTACAACTCCCATTTTCATCAGATGCAGGAGTAATCCTCACAGAGAAGTGCTGCAGCACAGAGTAGGAAACAACACCTAGCTGAAGACTGGCTCAAGCACTTTGGTGCTGCTTGTACTTTCTTCTTCACAGTGAGACAGACATTAATCACAGGAGATTGAAAGGGGTTTGCAGCCTGTGGCATAGCACATCAAACAGATATTGGGTTGAACTTCTGGTCTGTTAATGTTTAGTTTCTGGGTTCTAGACAAAGGCCATGATAACTCAATTGGAAAATTCCAAGCTTTGATTATGAAAACTTTCTACAACCAACTAGGAGTTAGAAGAATGCCTTATCATGCTCATATGCTTTTCACCCTTCAAGTATTGCTGCTGTTGAGCTGAAAAAGAATCAAATGTTTCTCATCTGAAAGAATAAGGTTAGGAAGCAGCAAGAAAAGAAGAAAAGACTGATAGATCAGGAGTTGCAGGTCTGTTCTTCTAATGACAATGACTTTGTCTTCACACCTGACCCCATATCCCTTTTCTGTCTCATTTTGCTCCATTGATATACTTTATCCTTAATCCTCCCCCTGCTGTGTTGTAAGACTCTATTTGAACACAAAAGAACTGGACACCAAATGTGTCTTGTTGGCACATTTGTGTCTTTGTGACAAAAATGTGTCAATGTGTGTCTTGACACCGAAGAAATGCCACAAAGGTTAAATGTTATAGTGGTTGCATACTTGTTCAAACTTTTTTCTCTCTCTTCATGGATCTGTAGTTAATGGGAAACTTTGTACAGTTCTGTTGCTTTTCTCTGGAAGTGACAGTATGAATCAGGCAGTTTTCCTTGTAAAGACTGAGGAGGCAGTTGAAGGCTGGTTTCTACTGTGAGTTGTTGGCACGGAACTGTGGCATGGTAAAAAATTACTCCCAAAATCACACAGATGAATAACAGCTGTTGACTTAAGTGCTGGATCTTTTACTGCTTACCTGAGGGATATTTTACTCTGGAGGAAGTGTGGACATGTCTGTGCCTACAGGTACGTAGCCTTCGTTGCAGCAGGGCTGCCAGCCTTTGTGATGCAAAGAGTGGACTTGGCAGTGAAGTTCCATGCCCAACAACAGCCTTCTCCACACACTCACCAGGGCCCATCTGGCAACCAGGAATCACAGAACCATAGAATCAGATCATGGAATGGCCTGGATTGGAGAGTGACCTCGAGGATCATCTAGTTCCAACCTCCCTGCCACAGACAGGGACATGTTTCACCAGACCAGTTTGCTCAGAGCTCTGTCTAAAATGGTCTTAAACACTTCCAGGGATGGGACACTCATAACTTCTCTGGGGAGCCTGTTCCACTGCCTCACCACTCTCACAGTAATCAATTTTTTCCTTACATCTAATCTACACCTTCCCTCTTTCCATTAAAAGCCACTGACCCTTCTCCTGGCACCACTTGTTCTTTTAAAAACCCCTCTTCATCTTTCTTGTAAGCTCCCTTCAGGTACTGAAAGTAGGCAATTAGGTCTCTCAATAAAGCCTTCTCTTTTCCAGGCTGAACAATTCCAAATCTCTCAGCTTTTCCCCATAGAGTAGGTGTTACATCTCTTTGGATTCACTACAACTGGTCCATGTCCTTTCTCTGCTGCAGACCCCAGAGCTGATGCAGCACTGCAGGTGGGGTCTCAGCAGAGCAGAGCAGAGCAGAGCAGAGGGGCAGAGTTCCTTCCCTCACCCTGCTGGCCACGCTGCTCTGGATGCAGCCCAGGACACATTTGGCTTTCTGGGCTGGGAGTGAACACAGCTGGGTCATGTCCAGCCTCTCATTGACCAGCATTTCCAGGTCCTTCTCCCCAGGGCTGTTCTCCATCTGTTCATCCCCCAGCCTGTGCTGATACCAGGGGTTGTCCTGACCCAGGTGCAGCACCTTGCACTTGGTCTTGTTAAAACTCATGAGATTCTCGTGGGCCCACTTCTCCAGCCTGCCCAGGTAGGTCAGGATGGCTTCCCATCCTTCAGGAGTGTAATTCACGCCACTTAACTTGGTGTGACCTGGGAATTTTTTAAGCATACACTGGATCCCTCTGTCTGTGTCAAAATTGGACATTTAAAAAAATAAAATTAAAAATAAAAATAAAAATAAAAAATAGGCCAACCACATCCTGGGCTGCAGTTCCCAAAGCACAGGTAGATTTTATCTCTCTGCACCTAATTCATAAGAAGCAACAGAAAAATAAGGATGAGTATAGTTCTCAGAGGTGACTTGATATGGGACAAGATGCAGTGGATATAAAACTGCAGCATGGGAAATTCCAGTTAGATGTTAGGGAAGAAAACTACAGTATGAGAGCAGTCAAACTTTGGGACTAGAGCCTGCAGATGATGTGACCTCCATTTTTTGAGTTATTCAAACTCCACTAGTCCAGGCACTGAGCAACCTGACATAAGCCAGCCCTGCTTTGGGTGCCTGGCTAACACAGATGACCTCCAGAAATCCATATCTATATCCTAGGACTATGCAAATAGATCTGTCTTGAAAAAAAAAATTAAAAAAATAAAAAAATGGATAGAGCTACATTCTCATTGAAAGTGCAAGCTTTGTTTCTCAAAAATCAAATTCTCAGGAATATTTAATGCTCCATTTAACTGCTGAGGATGAGTAGCTTCTTAAAAACCCATAGCTGTTTTTTGCTTGAGACAAGAGTTACTGAGTTTCGCAAGTCAATGTGAGAATTTATTTTTTTTTTAAACCTTCCTTCCAGTTATTGAAGGCAAAATATAGCTTATAGGTTAAAGCATGAGACACATTGGCTAAAAAGTAGTCTAAATCTGACTCAGTAGCAGACTTGTTAAGAAACTTTGAAGAAAATGTCTTAAGTCTTTCATGCCTTTCATACCATGTAATATTGGACTAGCAGGCTATTACACAGATGAAACAAATTCAGCACTGTTTATAATTTTTGTATTTGGGTGTAATGGAAAATATTGTTGTACTTCTTATTTGAGGAAAGATATTGCTATATCTTTTTAACATTGATTTTGCTGTAATTTTTAAATCTCTAAAAGAGTATTTCTAAGCTTAACTGGTTATTGGAAAAACAGTTTATTTATTAAACCTTGAAAAGAGCAGTTAGACATTGCTAGGGAAAGTATTCTATTTTCTACAACAACTATTGCTTTTTATCTTGTGGAATCTTAACATGGGGATAGGACAGAACATTTAATGAGCTTTCGGATTTAAAAGTCCCTAAGCATATGCCCTTAATTTGGAAGAAAGAGAGCATCCTTATTCTGAACACTTTTATTATTCATACTGAGCTCCTGGGAATGCAACATCAAGATTTTGAAATATGAGTTTGTCCTACCTTGCTACTTGTTGCATGGCCAGGCTTTGCAGCTATTCTGCTATACCACTGATAGAGAATGACATTTTGAAGTTAAAAGGGGTCAAGGAATTAATTACAGCTTTGAGGATACCTGTGTTGTGATGACAGATTTCTGGTAGCAGATGTATGAAATAGATACAATGGAGAATAAAGCCAGCAGTGTTTTATAAAGATGATCATGATATTTCATAGAAAATTCACCCCACGTCTTTCTTCTTTTCACATGCTTTATTCTCTTAATTTATAAAAAGTTTGAGTCAGTACTTTTCAATTATAAAACAACTGCAGTATACAAAAAGCATATGCAGAGTGGATGCTTACATCTCTCTGGAAGACTACTGTTTGATAAAGAGCTAGAAGCATTTCAGGAGTACCAGAACATTTTCAGCCTTTCAGGATGCCTGGCTTCAGGGTTGCTACAGATATTTTATCACTGTATCCTGAGGAAAATTGTCAGATCTCCTCTTAGTATTATCTGAACAACTGAGAAAGTCCTGCCAAGAGGATGAGTGGCCTTCATACCACAGGAGAGAAATACCTATGTCTATATATAACCTCAAACACATACTCCCATGTATTATATTCACTTTCATTACAATTAGTCCTCTTTCTTTCACCTGTAGCTCTGTCTTTCACCTGTAGCCACTTACAAGAAAATACATTTCGCAATAACTGGGAGTATTTAACATTTATTGAACAGAACATAACACATCTTCCCCAATGAACTTGATAAGTGAGAAGATAACAACCGGTCCAAGCCTGTCTGTCAGCTGTTTGTGGTTGATAAGCAATGAGTGGCACTCCAGGAAGCAGACAGAGCTGGGTTGCAGCAGCAGTTCCTCAGCAGTGCTTCTCTGCAAAGTCCAGGAGTCACACGGAGCAAGGCGAGTGTCCTGCTATGCTGCTGGAGAGGGGCTGGGTAAGTGCTGCAAAGGTCCTCAGCAGAGCTACTGAGGTACTGGAGGCAGACCAGGAGGAGGGAAATAGTATTAAACTCAAAAGAGAAGGCTGCAGGTCTGTAAGGAGCTTAATGGCTCCTCGTGGGAGATAAAATTTCAGCAGAGCTGGGAGGAAACATTACAGGAGAGAAGTTAAAAGTACTTTGGGTTCTTAGTCCACTGCAGCAGTTGTGAATATCATATTTTATGAAATCAGTGGAAGTAAAGTGGTAGTTAAAAGTATACTTTGGTATATTATTATTGCAGAAAGGGCTTCTGGTCTCCTTTAACAATAGCATTCACACTTTCATAATCCTTTCTGAAATTCATTAAAAGAAGAAAGTGTTATTGGTTTTTGCAATTAATCTTTGAACAAAGAATGAGGAGAAAATTTCCATAATGATTCTACTCGTTCTTCATTGGCTCTGATACTTTTCATGATGAGTAAATTTTTCAGAATCAGCTCAGATGTTGATCATCTCAAGTCACCCCCATAAAAGGTTGCCAGATCTGCCTTCAGTTTGGCACATTTAGACACCACCCATGATGTTCTCAGGTACTCACACAGATCAGCAATGAAATGAAACCTCATCATGGGCAGCAGCAACAAGAGCCCAGACCAGCAGGTCAAGGACTACAGCAGGCAAGTCAGGAGTGTGATTATTCCACTCATTTACTACCTGTTCAGCCCCACCTGGGATGTGGTGTCCAGATTCTGTCTTCCCTGTCCAAGACAGACATAGAAAAATTCAGAGAAGCTTAATTTCCCTTGCTGGAAATATTCAAAGCTCAGTTTGATGAGACCCTGGATACCTGTGTGTATAGCCCTGCTTTCAACAGGAGGTTTGACACTAAAATCTCTCAAGGTGCCTGCCAGCCTGGATGTTTTTAAGATTCAACAGTCACAATCCACCCAGACTGAGATATGCCTGTTACTTTCTGCAAAGTCATGCAGAGGTACCAAAACTGGCTCTGGAGGAGCTAATTGAAGTGCAGAAGCCTCTAAGCCTGGAAAACAGGGATAAATTTGATGAGGGAATGTCACTCCAACGCAGATTTATCACCAACTACCTTTTTAAAACTAGCTTAGATATTTCTATACAGCATTGTGTTCTGAATTGCACACATACCTCAGGCTCTCAGGGCAACATGCATAACTTCTATATCCAATGCTGTACAGAAAGACTCCATTAATTCTACTATTTTACCCCTAAAGAAACCATGTGCAGGCTGCTTCTGAATCTGAAACAAAAAAGTCCAGGGAAAAAATCTTCAGAAAAAGTGTAATGCAATGCTAGAACCTCTCACCAATTTAATGAACTTCTTCCTAGCCTGGAACTGATCTCTGTTGCACAGCTGAAATTAAGTTCATGCAAGGATAATCTTAGGTGTGGGCATGGAATGAGGTCGGACACCCACTAACATGGATAGGGGAAAAAATCTGAAAACTGAGTGGAGATAGCTTTTGATACAGAATTTATTATCTTATTGTAAACTCACTGAAGAGAGTAAAATCTTTCCTCTTAAATTAAAATAAGAGGGAAAAAGTTTTAACCAAAATAAGAGACATAAGGAAAATCTGGAGTGGATACAAAACAGGCATTGCTTTATCTTCACTTACTGTGCTAGAGGTACTTAGTAGTAAATGGTGAGCTCTCTCACCATGAGGGCTATAGAAATCATTGAATCACTTTCATTGATGATCCTGATTTGATGATGCAGAGAGAAAAAGGCAGCAGTGGAAATTGCTACTCAGTGAGCTGTTGCTTCTCATTTTCATCTCAGTTGCACAATTAAACACATTAACTGCGTGCTTTATTTTCTTAAACTCCCCAAATTCTTACTCTTACCAATATCAACAGGAAAGCTATTTTGGGGAAATCCTTTCTGTGAAGATATACTTGAATTAGTGCTTCATGTGCTAACTTGAGAACCAGAAGCAATGGAGCTAAAGAGGCATGTTACTGTGGCCAGTCTAACCTATCTTGTTGAGAAGATAAAGGTCAGGTCACTGCCCACCTGTCACTGTTTTGTTTTGGGACCAGAGTTCATACATTCACAGATGCCCACCGTGCCAGGCACCCACCAAAGCCTCTCTGTCACTTCCCTCTGCAACTGAACAGGGGAGAGAAAGTATAAAAAAGGGTTCATGGGCTGAGATAAGGACCAGGAGAGATGATTCACCAAATACAGTCATGAACAGCACAGACTCATCTTGGGGATATTAACTGAATTTATTACTGACAAAATCAGCAGGATAATGAGAAGTAAATGCAGACCTTAAAAACACCTTCCTTCTCAGCTCTACTTCCTCCTTCAGTCTAGTGTCAGAGGAAGATGGGGCAAGGTGGTGTGGTCAGTTCATCATGCATTGTTTCTTTCCCTGCTCTGATGTGGCATCTCTCCCCTGGGAGATGGCACTCTGTGAATTTCTCCAGTGTGAGTCCATCCCATAGACAGCAGCTCTTCACCAACTACTGCAACACAGGTCATTCTTGGCTGGGATGCAGTCCTTCCTGCTCCAGCATGGATTCCCCAAGCAGTCACAAGCCCTAGAAGGAAACCTGCTCTGGTGTGGGCTCCTCTCTCCATGGGTCTGCAGGTCCCTGCCAGGAGCCTGTTCCAGCACAGGCCTCCCACAGGTTCACAGCCTCTTTTGGGCATTGACCTGCTCCAGCATGGGTCTCCTCCACAGGCTGCAGGTGGGTCTCTGCATCCCTGTGATCCTCCATGGGCTGCAAAAGCACAGCTGCTTCACCATAGACTTCACCATGGGCTGCAGAGGAATCTCAGCTCCTGTGCCTGGATCACCCCCTGCCCCTCCTTCTCCACTGACCTTGGAGCTGCTCTTCTCTTATGTTCCCATCCCACTCTTTTCTGGCTGCAAGTACAACTGCCATAATTACTTTTTTTCCCTTTTTTCTCCTTCCTCTTCTTCAATATGTTATCACAGAGGCACTATCATCATTTCCAACTGGCCCAGTCTTGGCTAGTGGTACATCCATCCTGGAGCTGGCTGGCTTTGGCTCTGACAGAGGAAGCTTCTGGCAGCTTCTCAGAGAAGCCACCCCTGTAGCTTCCCCCACTACCAAAACCTGGCCATGGAAACCCATCAGGGTTTGTACACATCCTACAAAATTAAATCTGTACCAGTTTACATTGATACTATTTGTACCTTCTCTACACGATGCTTCACTGACTACATGTGGATTAGTTTTATTTTACCTTTTCATCTATCATGTAGGGCTCATAGTATCATAAAGTCCTGTCAGTCTGTCTTCAGCTACTGCTTCATTAGAGCTACAGTGAATAATGACATAAAATATTGGCTTCTTACTCTTTCCAGTGGTAAAGAAGATGTACAGAACATTAAATAGCCTGGATGAAATGAAAAGAAGGACGTTAGAAAGGGAAGCTATTTCATAACTTATTGTTTTCAGATCTGTTTTTCTGCAGAGAGGTCTAAAGATCAGCCAAGTACAGGACCCAGTGCAACACCACAGCACAGGGCACTCCAAAACTGAAGAATATTTGGACTGGCAAAGCATCATTAAGGCCACGAACAGCATGGCCCAAGATTTTCTGTGGACATCTGTGTCAATGAAATGGGGAGAAGCTAAGAGAAAACATTTGGAGGACAGTGGGTCAAAGGGCAGGTGAGGGTATTCTTCCACAGCCCAGAACAGCAGCACTTACTGTGCTTCTGCACCTATGGCAGGGCTGTCTAGCTGCCTTCTTAAATATTTCAACTGAACTCCAAATAGACAAAAGCTTTTAAAAATGTATCAATAATGAGCTTAATAACAGCACAATTTGTTTCACTCTTTGGTATATGCACTGAAGATCTTTTATGCAGCTAAAGTTATCATTTATATCAAAAAGTTATCATTGCTTATCATTTTTTCAGAATGGAAACTTCCAGATTTAACAGCAAAATGAACCATTTCAGCCCAAAAAATTTGATGTAACAGAGCACTTGTGTGCCCACAGCACCTCACTCTCATATGCAGTGTAGCTGTGCTGATCAAGGAAAGGCTCTTGCAAACCAGTGTGCTTTGAGAATGCAGTGGAAAAATTCCCTTGCAGTAAATTCCTCCTTTCTGAAATGACAGTAGGAACCTGAATTCTTCTCTAACTCAACTGTAGCAGACACATCATGAATTTAATTGCCTTTATGCTAAGGTAGGAAATCATCTTCATTATCAATCAGTGTTGGCAGGAACCTTTGCTTTCTGTACTGCTCCTAGGCAGTAAGAGCTTAGACTAATGCAGGGAGGTTTGCTCCTCAGACAACACATTTTAGCATTCTAAGTTCCATAAATATCTGTATGTGTATATTCATCATGAAAGTGATCTTTGGTAAAATTATTTTTCCACGCACCTGATGATAGAGTTTGATAGAGTCTGCAGCCAGAAATCAGATGAAATAAGCAATCTGGGAATAAAACAGTATTAGTAGTTGCAGTACACATTTTGAGGGTGAGTAGCAATAGGCTTGTGTTGAAATCCTTCTTAAAAATATATTCTTCCTTATAGCATGCTGCCTAACCCAGCAGGCAATTAGTGAGGTTAGTACCAAGTTCAAAAATATTTTAGGATGAGCACTGTCTTTTCAAGATGAAGAGAAATAATTTTTTTCTTGAAGAGGCACATATGCTTATAGAATTGATGCTGCATTTATGATTTCTTTCTCTGCAGTCTAGTGTCATCTTTATGGTAGGTGTAATACATCTCCTTGTCAATCAGCTCCTCCTTCCTTTTTTTTTTACCCTGGTAAGAACAAACTCTCATAATGACTGAATTGCTGTGCTGGATTCTTGATGAAAGGCACATCCCCTGAAAAACTTACTGGCTTTCAACAGATATGAGCTAGTAAAATCCTTCAAAAAAGAGGTAATATTTAAGTTGGTGATATACTATTAGAAGTGTACAGTTAAATATAAGTAAGACACCTTCTCAGAAAGTCCATTTAGGCTGGAGACTGAACAGACTCCTTTTGTATGATTTTTGTATGATTTTCTGATTCCTCCTCCTGCCCTTTGGCCTCCTGCACTGAGGCCAAAGCAGAGTCCAATAGAAAAGAGAAGATATGGCAGAAGTTGGCCAAATTTCCAGGGTTATTAGTATTAGAACAGTTGGTTTCTAGATCTGGGATCCCTCCCACACTATCAAAGGAGGAATACTGCAGATTTTGATGTGAACTTAAGTTTTGGTTTTTTTCAGTACTTTTCTGAAAGATCTGGATTCTGGTAAGACCTGAACAGAAATTTGAGAAGGTTTTTACTGATGTGCTAAGCTTCAGCATGGTGCAATTTTGGCATTTCTGTAGAAGGAAAAGGTAGTGAGATAGGCTGAAGGGGAAACAGACTTTCTCCATGCCACTTTTCCTCAAGTACATTTAAGCAAATTTAAGAAATTATGCCCAGGGATAATAACTTGCAAAGTGGGTATTTTTTCCCCCAAAACAAGTAAAAAACTAGTAGAAGGACACCAGATGCATTTCCACTTTTCAGAGGAGCTTAAATTTATGGCTCTGCTATGCAAAGGCATGTGAAACAAGGAATTTCAAGCCACATATTACTCTCTGTACTTTTCCAAAATGTTCTTTCAGATGTGTCACAGGCAGTAATTCTCACTTATGGGACACCTTGCACTGCCTGGGTGACAGCGACAAATCACAACTAATCCAGAACCCAGACAGAGACGTTTTAAGAAACTAATTATCTATAAAATGTTTTTTGGCTGATACTGAATGCTTTTCCTTTTGTAGGTAATTAATATCTTTCTATTCAGGTACTTGAAATAGTAAAGCACACTAGAAATATGAGTCAAAAATAGGATTTTGTTGGTAACAACTAAAAGTTTTTCCAATTTCATATTGCCTTTCAGTTCTTCATATTAGCAGCTGATCTTTTACTTAATAATAAACTGCAAATAACCTGTCACAACTGCAACTTAATAACTGATTAGGCAGTCTTACACACTAGCCCCAGGCCCACAGCTGGCACTAGGAGGGACTCTGAGCAGATCAAAAAGCAGGCTTTTGTAAGGAGTACAAATTATTATGAATTATGTCCTCCCTGATTCTACACAATCCACATCAGTGTTGTCAGGACCATCACTCAAGCTTTACCCACAACTAAGAGCTAGGTTACCTGCAGTCAATTTAAGGTGTCCAGGTCAGTCTTATTTTTCGCTTTGTCCCACTTAAATAAGTGAAGGAGAAGAGTATTTTTCTAGAAGACCCAACCACCATGCCACCTGTGCAGTCCACTGCTGAATTAGCACCCCAAATCCTTGAGTCCTGGCAAAATAAATGTAGGCAAAGAAAACACCTGTGTTGCTGTGGTTATTCTGTGCACAACTTTAAGTTTGGAACAGCTGAAAAATCACTAACAGCATGTATTATGCTTGAGCATAAAGGGCACGGTTCTCTTTCCTTGAGGACCTTTCACAATCCAGAGTAGAGGTATCTTGATGCTAATCAGACTCAGGACAAGCAGCCCTTGAAATCTGGCCCAGATTCTCATCTACTATTAAACAACCTTGGCCCTTGAAACTGTTGCTGTAAAGAAAACTCAAACTAGGTGATGGTTGGAATCCATGTGATACAGCAATACTATGAAAACACACCATCACACTTCTAGATGTTTAGGGTATTGCTAAGACTACCAGCAATTACTCAAAACTTGAAAAATTCATGCATTTCTAGTACCTGTGTTTAAAACGGGTAATACTCTAAAATAACCACATTACAGCTGAAAATCTAAACATACCAGTCTGGAATCCATTGTACATGCTGTTGGTAAATCCTGGGCAAAATTGCATCAGTTTATCAGGGAAAATTAATTGCAATGATGTATACTAAGCATTCTATACCTATCTAGATCTTTATGCTAATGACAAATTAGAGACCAACAAGGGCAATGAGGGTATCTATCCCAGATGATACTCCAGTATTTCATTATTTGGTTTAATCCTGGATTAAAGGATTGAAGATTTTCCAACAACAAACATGTGGGAAAAAGTCAGCCTGAAATACTCTTATTTGCTTTGACTGCTTGAGAAAACAGCATTGTTATTTATCAGCAAAATTAAATAACTTGTATGTTATGTAATTACTATATTGCATCAAAAAGACACATCAATATACAACATTAAAACATTACTTATGTTTTAACTTGTTTAACTATGTGATAGCTTATTTTATGTATCAAAAACATTGTATAATTTAAAAACCCACATACAGATGCTACCTGAAGGTTTTAAAAGTACTTTAGCTTTCTTTCCACTGGGATGTATTCATTCTAAAACAAGACCTAGAATAAGCCAAGACAAAATTACCAATTTGAGAGGGCACAAGTCTTGATTCAAGGATATCTTAGCTTTAGTTCTGGCTTTGCCATGGAGTTTTCAGCTTTTTATCTGTATGACTTTCAACAGAGCTTTGAGACCAGCTTGCAGAAAAGTACTAGAGAAGAGCCAAGCATTAGTGGTATGATCACCTTTTAATATTATCTAAACAGTTCTTTAGCCGTCAGCCACTGCTAAAATTGCAAAAAGACAATTTCCATCACATACCAGTCTGTTGTGAAGTAGTGCAGAGCAGGACTTCCCTTGTGCTTTTTAACCAAATGTGAAGCAACAGGATGCAGTCAGTTAAAACGTTCTCATGTGAGATTACATTTAAAAGTTGTATGTCTATACTGTTGCTTTCAAAGCTACTATGCTCAAATATAACCATGTGTTCTGACAGAAGCATGTTAAACCAGCAGGAGGGCAAAACTGACCTTGCATAGACTCCTTACAGAGACTCAGTGCCACAATAAGACAACCTTTACCACACATACACCTCACAGAAACCATCATTGCTCGATGAGCCTTTGACACTGGCATGGCTAATCACTTTTTAATTAAATCTCCTAGTTTCCCTCTGCTAGCACTGTGCAGCTGTAGTGATGGCATCATGTCCTGAGATCCAGACACTGAGCTAAAATCTTGGCAGAGAGCAGAGCTGAGAAGTGGTGCTGGGCTGTAGAGTGAGCTTTATTTCATCCCTTACACTTCAGTGTCTCTGACCACATCCAAACCCACACTTAGTCAATCTAGATCATATTTTCCTCTTGTCCTGCCCTGTTTTCTCAAAACACACTTTCAAATCATCCTCTCCACTCTGGGGAACAACCCTTCCAAACACGTGTCTTGGTGAGCTGTGAGGCTCACTTCTGTGTGTATAGTTTATCATTTTAGGCAGTAGTGTAAAGCACTGTTCAGAAATGAGAGGCTTAGAAGACCTCTGATGGCTAAGAAGCAGCTGCAAGGTAAGGGATGCTGTGATGCAACTAAAAATCTTTCCAAGGTTGTGTGCCCATGGGCAGCCCTACCCTCACACTGCACAGGGTTATTGTTTTGAAATAAGCTCAAAGAAGGAAGTAAGGCAATGACTCTTTAAAGTATCAGGTCTTTTGCTTTTTATTCTTAGAGCTTACATAGAATGAAGAGCCAAGTAAGCAACACTTGAAGAGTGGAAATAAACTCTAATCTGTAAGTATACACAGATAAAAAGAAAAGAAAAAAAAGCCTTGGTTTGCAAAGTTTTTAAAAGAATGTTTGAAAGTTTAGGGCAGGGGGGAAAGCATTCAGTTGTCAATTTGTTTTATTTTGAACCCATTTTCTGCACAAATGTTTTCTCGTGGTGTTTGGTAATTTCCTACCAAAAGGGAAATTTTGGGAAACAAGGGAGAGCATTGTTTCATTCTTTTCTGTATTGCTATCCTGTAGTTTTACACTCTCTTCTAAAACTGGGAGGCAGTGCTTTTTGTTCTCATCTATCTTTTTGTGTGTGTTTGATATCACCCAGTCTCTATAAGGACGAGAAGGGTTTGTTCTCTCTGTTAAGATACAGCTAAGGAAGTAAATAACCCTTTTTAGGAACACTTCATGGTTTCCAATTTTTTATGTAAAAATAGTGACAATCTCAAATGAAAGAGGGACTAACTCAACATGCTTTTCAACAAGCATGTCCCATTTGTTCTTCAATGGGCTAAATTGCCACAAAATATCAGTATAATGTTGACACAGCCTGCAAGACACGAGCTGTTAAGCTACCGAATGAATTAAGGGAATAATGAAAACTTGTTTCAAAAAAGTCAATATCTAAATGTAAAAATGTGCATGATATTTAGTATTATTTTATTTTTAGTGTTTTCCATTAAGCAGGTTTTTATACTTCAGACTTCAGTGGTGTGTGTTTATTTTGAAATGAAAGAAGTTCTGCAATTATTCTAGTGGTATAGCCTGCATTACCATAACACAGCATGGAATTAGAACAAAATTAAATGCAATTACAATGCCCTCAACAGAAAACATCTTTGAGACTAAATGAGGATTCTGTGAAACAGATGCAGATTTTAAACACAATTTTGTTAAAAATTATTTGTATCTTGCACTTCCTCCAACCTAGTCTAGTTCAGTGAAGGAATGTCAGTTCTGTCGAACACTCATTTTTCAATTTATTAAGCCTGTCAAAAATAGAAATCTTTCATTTGAGTTGAACTTTTTTCTCCTCCAAATTCAAATGAAACTTCTCAGTTGGGTGCATGCAGACAGCAAATGCTTCTTCTGCAGAACCCAACTGTCAGAACACATGAAAATCTGTGTGAAGCCTGCCAGTCTCTCAGCAGACATGTATGGGGGGATAAATTTTGCAAATGCTTGTTATACAGAGTTCACTGTTTGACAGAGATTGTAAGAGTGTCATAATTCCTGACAAATGAGGTGGTTTTTTTTAATAAGTTGATATGATGTTGATGTAACATAATGGTGACTCATGGAAAATAGCATGCAATGAAGGGAACAAGCCAGTGACAGGCTGATATGGATTGCTAAATCAGGCACGAAGTAGAATAAGCATTTTACCCCTGCCAAATGCAAAGTTCCTCATCTAAGAACCAAGTACAAGTGTAATGGCAGTTCACTGAGGAGCCACAGGTATGGCTGCGATCTTCTGTCTCATATCAGGTATCTATGGGGGAAGTCTAAATTTCACAGAAGGTTTTCAAATCTGAAGACAGAGGCAGAAGCACATCAAATGCCTGGAAGCTGAGGTTGTACAAATTCTGTCCAGAAGTATGGTTAATCTTTTTTTCTTTCTTATCTTTTTTTTTTTTTTTTAATAGTAAGATAAATAGCAGTAAGATAAAAGAGAAACAAGTTCCTGAATGTTGGAATTAATATTTCCTACCTGGAAAATTTTGACAGAGATAAACTGTTTTCATAAATCATAGAATCATGCAATGATTTGGGATGAAAGAGGCCTTCAAGATCATCTAGTTCCAGCAGCCATGCTATGGGAAGGGATACATTCCACTAGACCAGGTTGCTCAAATCCCCATCCAGCCTGGCCTTGAACACAGACAGGGACTGAGCATTATGACATTTTCTCTCCTGAAGAGAGCAGTCCAAGGAAGTCCCACAGACGGTGCTGCACAGTCAGACACATGAAATGAGTGTGATGGCATTATCCATACTGACAACTGACAAATCTTGAATGCACAAGAATCTTTTTGCTGATCACATTTCTGAAAGAAACTAGCCTCTGGCCTCTTGGCAACCTACCTCCTTTGTCAGACTGAAATAGCCATTTTTGCAATTGTCCCCCAGCCCTTGCCACCAGCAGCTGCTGTGGCATCCAAATGAAACGGTGCCCACTTGTGCCTTGTGGCTGCTCCAGGCTCATGTCTGGCAGAAGTTCAGCCAAGTCACGAGAGGCTTAACACAGAGGAAGACCAAACCTGGCTCCAAGACTTGAGCAGTATCACTGAACTGGCAGCTGCTAAAGGGGGTGGGAAGGCACAGACACGAGAACAGCTGTGTCTTGTAAGGTCCATATTATTTCTTTTTCCACGTGTCTCCTGCTAAATTCTGGCAAAAGGACTTGTAGGTAGCATTTCAGGTCAGTAGGTTATAGCATGGTGAATGTCAGTACGATAGGAAACCTCATTTCACCAGAAAGCAACATTTCCTCTGTGAAACATGCTCTGTGTTATGTTACACTCTGTATTCATCACATAATGATATTCCAGTGGGGTGCCTGTACTGCTGGGGAGCTGATAATCTGCTATCATAACTGCTTGTTGGTTTTTTTTGAAGATTAATGAAAATTACATATCCTGCAGAATCTTACTATGCAGGGATTTAATGATGACTGGAGAATTCTGCAGAAATCAACATTTCAGTGACTCAGTCACCTATTTGCAGACAGAAATAGGTCTCTTGATGCCTAGAAGTCAGGTTATCTGACTTCTGCCTATCTGTTCTTACTGCCTTCAGTTCAAGTTTCACTGGCCTCCGACGGGTGACATCAAGAGATCCCAAGTGCAGCCTTGCTGCTGGGTCTGCTCACACCAAGCCACATTTCCAGTGTGTTGCCTTTCCTCCCCTGTAACACTTTTAAAAGTTTTAAACTTTAAATATGCTTTTTAAATCAAAACAATGCGGTAATGCCTGTTTTTAGAGACATCTTTTCAAACTTAAGTTCTTCAACAACTTGGAAAAACTGATGAAGAGCCCTTGCTAATCCCTTCTGACCTGCATGGTTGTAAGGATGAAATTGTCTCAGAAACGAAAACAGAACTGGAAGGAACTTGCACCATTTCTGATGCAAGAGCTGCAGTGTGCCAATCCTCAGTGTCTTTGATAAAAAGTTCCTTCACTGCAACCCATTGTAATTCTCTTAATGTACTGGAATCAGTTGTCCACATAACTCTGAAATGCAAGATCAAATACAAAAGGTCAGTAATGCCAGCAACCAACACATCAGTTTGAGATATGGCACTTATATTTATGCTGATTATAATAAGATATCTGGCATCTCTGATGCATTGGAATAGCTAGAGAATAACTTTTCAATGTATGAAGAGACCTTGATTACTGTGAGGGTAAGTGTTTAGAAATATTTCTAAGAAACAGCACAAAACACCTGAGGTGAATAACAGATATTCATTCCCCACTATGAGCAAAACCAGTATATAAGCATTTTCTGTTTGCAGCATTTTCTCTTTCCTATAAAATGAGTGGACTGCTAAAAAAGTTTTCCCCCTCCCAAGTCTTGGTAGTTCGTGTTACCTGAAAAAAATTAAAGTTGAAACACCATTCATACAAAGAAATTGAGGAACTATTTCCTGAAGTGAAAAGCATTTGAGTATTAAATGAGAAATCACAAAAACTTGTGAGAAAACCCCTTCTTGTGTTGTGGATTCACTGGTAGAATGGACTCTTACTAGAGTCAGTTTTAAATTACTTTTCAGGTAGCAGTACCACTATAACTCTGATAGTGCAGAGCCCAACACTGTTCAGTTTTCCCTAGTTCTTTTCTGTAACTGAAATGTGAACATTCCCTGGACATTTTTACAGATGCTTCAGGATAACACCCTACCTGAACTCTTCCCCCTCCTATATGATCTTGTAGTACTTAAAATACTAACAGGAGCTGCATTTAGATTTATAAGAATTATTTTTAATCCCTCTTTTAGAGAGTAATATATTAAAAATGTATAGCATACTTTTTATGCTTGCTATTGACTTGCATCTAGCTTCTGCTTGGGTCAGATAGGATGATTTACACTCACCCAGGATGTCCTTTCCTAATGTTTTTTAGCAGCCCATTTCATAACACCCAGTTACTACATGTAAGATATGAAATGGCCCTGAGAACCAGGACAGTACTGCCCACGCTTCTTGGCCTGGCAGGATCTAAGCAGGATTTCCATGGAGTCTGGGTTTACATGGTGTTTAATCCCTTGTTCAGAGAAACTGTCCATGGAGAAGAAGTTGATTGTAATGTGTTCAAAACTCAGCTCTCAGAGTAGCAAACAGAATTTGTATCTTAGATAGAACAACATATGGTTGTTGTCTGGCCCTAGGAAGGACAGATTTGTGTTGCAAATAAACAAATTGATGAATGAGTAGCAGAATGAAAACAGTATCTCTGATCTTCACTGTAAAAGCATGCAGATGCTCAGAAGAGAGGAGAAAAAATAACACAGCACAAAACCACCACAATGATGTAATTTTTCTAAGGATCATTTCTCCCCATATATTATGGATTCATGCTTGTTTTTAGGAGTATGGCTGGAAATGTCTTAAGGACTAGAGCAGTTATTTGCCCAACCTTCTCATCCATTTCCCCCTAGGCTGGTGGATGTTTGGATAAAAGTACAGGTTACAGCTACTGATGCCATCTGTGAGATTTCAGGATTATTCCTTGAGCAAGAGCCAGGTGGGAAGCTATTCTGGCTTTTTTAGGTAGACCATCTCATTCCTACCTTATCTTAGTCTTTCTGTATTCTTTCATTTCCAGAATATGTACCAGGAGGATTTCAGGAACATGACTGAAGGGATCAGGAACAGCAGTGACTCCTCTTCTGCCTTTGTTCACAGCAGCACCATGAGTGCCATACTGGTCACTGTCTACTCGGTTGCCTTTGCTGGAGGTGGAATTGGGTCCATCACGATGTCCTTTGTGCTGCTCAAGATGAACACTCTGTCTGTGACCACCACTGCCATCATTAACCTGGTCGTTGTGCACAGCCTCCTCCTCCTCACGGTGCCCTTCCGCCTCCACTACTATGTCAAAAAGAAGTGGGTATTTGATATGCCATTTTGCAAAATGGTGAGTGCCATGGTGCACATCCACATGTACCTGACCTTCATGTTTTATGTCATCACGCTGGTGATCCGGTGGCTCATCTTCTTCCAGTGGAAGGACAAGGTGGAGTTTTACAGGAAGCTGCATGCCATTGCGGCAAGCGCTGCCGTGTGGGTCTTCGTCATGGTCTTTGGGGTGCCGCTCTTCTACTTTGAGTATGGACGCTTGGGCTTATACAATAGTACAACGTGTTTCAAGTTCCACAAAGAACTACAGCACCAGAGTGTGAAAGCCCTGAACTACACCATAATTGTAGCTGTTACCCTCATTTCTTGTGTCCTCTTGGGCTTGCAGATTTTAATCCTGGTAAAAGTGGCGAGAAAATTTTCCACCTCCCTCTGTTCACACCAAGAATTCTGGGCCCAGGTGAAAAACTTGATTTTCATCTGGGTCATCATAATTTGGTTCCTTCCTTATCACCTGTTCCGGGCCTACTACATACAGCATGTGAGTGATTTTGACCAGTTAGAAAGCTACAATGAGGTTTTTTTGAGCCTGACTGCCCTGAGCTGTCTAGACCTGCTGTCATTCATGCTGAGTGGAAGCCGCTTCTTCAAGCAAAATGTGGGGATGCTCCACAGGAGGCTGCCTTGCTGCTAGCATCAGCCTCCTGCAGCGTGTGCAGGACCTGGGATAGGACAGTGATGGACAGGCATGGCAGACTCCCTCCCCAGCAAGTGTGGGTGTGCTCTGGAAACTGCACAACACACTTGCACAGGGCTTTGCACATCAACTTCCTGAAGTAATGGAACAAACTGCCTCCAGGCTCTCAGCTGGTAAACAGGAAGGTGACCTCAGCAATTTCTTCGTGGTGCTACCCAGTGAGCTGTGGATGGACCTGAAGAAGAGGGAAGAAAGGTCATGGGCTCTTCTGTCTTACTGTTTTTACATCAAGATTTGTGAAGCTAAAGGCACTAGGAGGAGACCTGAGAATTGCAGTGTAGAAACACAAATAAAGAAGCTGGTTTTTATGGACTAAGGTGCAGATTTTTGAAACTTAAAGGTCTATATCATTTTCCCATACATTTCTTATTTATTTCCCACAGGCTTTCATAAAATATCAGGGAAGATATTGTTCTTCCTGAGTCAGTCTGTTTCTTTACTGTCAAGAGAAGCATAACTTTCTAAGTGAATTGAACAATTAAACCAGCTATTTAAAACTAAACCAGTGATAGTTATTTCTTAAAATATTTTCTCAAAATCACTTTTGAGATGGTATCACTGCAGCAGATTTTTTTTTCTTTTTCACATTACAAAAATATATCTAAAAGAAATTATACACTGTTACTGAAATGGACATTGCAAATTCAATTATTCACAAAATTGTTCAATTTTGTATTATTCACAAAATTGTTAAATTAAAAAAATTTTATAGTCAGGACAATCTTTTCTTAGATCATTCAGACAGCATTTGTCTTCTCTTCAAAAGATAAATATTTTAGGAACCCAAGGTAGCAATGCTTTTTTTTAAAAATCCTATGTTGATTTTGTGCATTATGAAGTTTATCAGCAGTTACTCACAGTATCTTTAGCTAGAAAGTAATTTTATAAATTTTATACCCTGTACTGGTAGAAGGAATGAAAATGTTACTGCTTGGAATGGAGGGATGGAAAAAGCTAATAGACCTAGTGTAGCTAAAAAGTATATTATATGTCAGTGAGGCATAGTCAGTTGCTGTCTCTGAAGACAGAAATAAATTCCACTAAAAAAGATGAAAAATTTGGTAAAATATTTATTTGAAAGATATTGAGGCTTTCATAGTTCAGCTGCTTTACATCTATCCACAAAAAATAATATAAATCTCCAACTCCTCTAATCCAAGACATCAATGGCTAATGTATCTTTCTTTTGCCATCTGCATAAATCCACATTTTTTCATCTAGAGTTAGTGGGATAATAATTTAATCATTTAACTAATTAGAGGTTATCAGCTGATCAATTTCCATGAGTGTCTCCTCATGATGCTGTTGAAATCCACCTTTTCACCCTTGTGAACCTTTCCATTCCTTTCTGCTTCACTTTCGACATATCTTGCACATCAGACAGCAATAAAATAACTATTGGTTGATCTTGTTGTACCTGTGCTATCTCTTTGCTATGCTCATTGTTTATGGTCCCACCAAGATGATCACTTTATGGGATCCCATCTCTTCAACAGTCTTTTTACCTTATCTTTTTTCCTTCTTGCTTCAAGGTCTATCAGGATGTTTATCAGGATGTTTGATCATAAGAAGGTATTTTCAGGTCGGAGTATGAGTCATGCTACACAACATCAAAAGGTGGAAATCACTGAAACTCATAACATAGGTGAGGTATTGGGCAGCTCTCATGGCTCACCCTTGGCGAAATGCCTGGACCACATCTGTTAAGAAAGAAATGTGAGAGTTTGCAGCGTGTGTGTGTATCTGAGAAAAATCTGTCCAAGAAGGCATTTGTTCCTAAAAGATCACAGTAAAAAGGGTGACAGCTGCTACAGAGACTTTCAAAACATGGAAGGAGTCAACTTGAATGTACAGTTCACTGCTAGTTATCTGTGTGTCATTAAGAAAGCAATAAACAGCTATGATCCACATTTGTTTTAAAGCCACACAAACAAATCATATTCTCCTTGTGGTTAGAGAGGATGAAAATTGGCATAACATTTTTGTTTCCTCCCATAGCAATGTGGTGGGTTTAAGAAAATGCCTTGCATGCATTCCGTAGGCACTGCGTAGCTTTGTAACATTATATTATAGCCCTTCTACTATAATAAAGTTATTAGCAAACAAAATGACTATGCGCTGAGAAAATAAAGTCCCTCCTACAAAAAATGCACATAAATTAAAATTATTTTATATGTGAATTTAAAATTAAACATAAACCATGATTTTACAAACAGTGCTTCCTGGCTATACAGCCCAACTAATCTTGTTCATCCATGTGCTAAAATCACAAGTAATTTAATTCTTGGAAAAATGCACACTTTCACAGTAGCCTGCATCATAGCACCACAAAAAAATAGTAGTGGTTTTTTTCTCTGAATAAAAATTGATGCTAATGATGTTAATGCTAACTCAGTGTGATAATGAGCAAATTAGGGGGTCCAATAATTCCATGATTTAAGTTGGTGATGTTATTCAGCTACAAGTCAGGATTTTTAAGGGACTGTCTATGCAAACTTTATGTCTACCACTTGTCTTGCTTTGTGAGAGTCAGTGTCTGGTAGAGAAAGCCTTCTCCTGCCCTGAGAGAATGAACTCTCTTAACTCTGCCAGGAATTGGCCACAACAGAGGAAGGGGAATTTCCAGCTACAATCATCTGCTTGGTCAGAGGCACCACAAGCCTGAAGGAGACTCGTTTTTGCTGACTGGATGACAGAGGATAGTACTAGACCAAGAAACAATCATGAACACAAACACATTATTACAGAAGGACATAATGGGGATAGAATCTGAAGAATAGGACTGGGAATGAGGAGAACAGAATACCAGCATACTTCAGCCACAGAGCAACAAGGTAAGGTGACTGTGTCTCTGGCCTTCATCTCAGGTTATTTATTTAATCCTTAAAGTTGCTAAAAAGTGGTTTTCTCACTGATGGGATCAAACTTGCCCTCAGACACTCTTTGTTCCCGCTCCTCCATCACTCTTTCCATATGGCTGGAATTTGCCTGCTGAATGTCTCTCAGCTGCATCAGTTCCCTCTCTAGCTCACCAGGGAATCATGGAAAATAAAGTCAAGGCAAGGACAAATACAGCAAGACTGCATTTTGCAGCAATCCTGATCTGAGGCTTTTATCAGACTGGAATTTTACTTGTCTAATTCCCTTTAGGACACAGATCTTTTCTTTACAGGCAGTTTTCCACAGTCTGTGTCACTTGACATTTCCATTTCCATTTCCATGTATTCCCAATAACCAGGGTGCCTTAGACTAAAAGTACTGGTTGAGGAACTTCCACAGCTGCAGGTCAAAAAGGGGTTTTGGGGCTTTCAGGCACTTGATGCTTTCTCCAGGGATAGACAGAGATGGGCATGAAAAACCCTGAAGGCAGCAGAGGCAGCAGGTCCTGAACAAAAGCCTCAACAGGATTGCAGAATTGGACATTTCTGATCCATAAAGTCACTCATTTCTGCTGTTTTCAGAGAAATAGGACTTGGCACGCATTTTCCCTGTAAGTAAACCCTATGGCTAAGACTTGATTGGAAGCAAGGGTTGGTTTCAAAAGTCAAGGGGTCATTAATAAAACACCAGCTTGACTTCCCAGACAAAAATTTCAGAAAATCAAACTAAACTTTCTGACACTCAGTGATGTAATTTTCCTCACTTGCAAACAGCTGCTTAATAAACCAAATGTTTTGCTGAACAGAGAAAAACCAATAAAGATAATACACAGTGTCCATTCCCTGGAGTCTAACTATTAGTAATATTTTTAATATAGTAATAATAATAAGCAACACTAACACTATTAGTAATATCTTTGCTCTGGTGAGGCAGCAGACATGCCAGCTGGCTGCTTTCACCCTCAACCAGTAACTTCCCTCATTCCCAGTAATGTCTCCAGTTTGTGAATGCCAGGCGGGTTTTGCTCATCAGCTCTGACAGTATAACCTCAGGGAATTGTGTGTCAGTCACATGTGACTGGGGCTCAGAATCACAAAATCAAAGACTGGGTAAGATAGGAAAGGCCCACAGTGGGTCATCAGTTCCAGCCCCCCTGCTCAAGCACCCTAGAGGACATAACACAGGATTGCATCTATATGGTTCTTGATATCTCCAGTAAGACAGACTCCACAGACTCTCTGGGTAACCTGTTCCAGTGCATGGTCACATCCCAGTAAAGAAGCTCGTCTTCATATTCAGCTGGAATTTCCTGTGCACCTGTTTCTGCCCATTGCCCCATGTCCTTGTGCTTGGCACCACTGAGAAGAGCCTGGCTCCATCCTGTTGGCACCCTTCCTTCAGATACTGATAGACATTGATGAGGGCCCCTTTAAGACATCATTTCTTGGGCTGAACAGGCCCAGATCTCTCAGCCTGGCCTGCTAAGGGAGAGGCTCTATCAGAACTGTAGAGGTGCTCATCTTTGTAGCCCTTCACCGGACCTGTTCCAGGAGCTCCATGTCTCCCTTGTACCCAGAAGCCCAGAACTGGGCACAGCACTCCAGATGTGGACTAACCAGAGCTGAGTAGAGGAGCAAGATCACCTCCCTTGACCTGCTGGAAAAGCTCTTCCTAATGAACCCCAGGGTACCACTGTCCATCTTGGCCACAAGGGCACTGTAGCCTCATGGACACCCAGGACCTCCAGGTCCTTTTCTGCAGAGCTGCTTTCCATCAGGTTGACCCCCAGCCTGTGCTAGTGCAGGGGGTTATTATTCCCCAGGTGCAGGACCCTGCGTTTGCCTTTGTTGAATTTTGGACAAGTAGGCTCACACGACTCAGGTCTTTCTACTGGAAATTATGCCAGTCCCATTGCTGGGAAGGGTAATGCACAGCCATCTGGGGTTCAGTTACCAGCTCCAGAGGCACCCCCACCCATAGCAGGGTCATAGTCAGGAAGGGACACATGCCCAAGGCCAATACAGGCAAGAGAGATGTTGGCAGAAAAATTTGATAGCATCCTCAAAGGTTTCACTGAACCTGCAGGAAGGAAGACCCTGACTTGTGCACCACAGGGAACACACACTGAGGGAAGGACTCATGGAAAAGAGCTCATAGCCCCTGATCTGCTTCAGAGTTCTACAGCATGGAGAAACTCAGCAACCAGCCACTGGTTGAGGTGGGGAGGCACATGGAGTGATGGCACCATGATCTCTAACGACAACATGTAAGAATTGCACATAGGGCTTTGTCTTCCCAGTACATTTCTTCAGTGGAGCAAGACCTCACAGACCTCTGCATTAATGGGGAAATGTGATGGACAGCCTTCAATCATACCCTTGGAAAGTCTCACCTGTCTGGAGGCTGCATGGAGAGAAACACAAATGGATGTAAGTTCCGCATACATGGAGACAGAGCACAGTCCCTGTCCTCTGCTACAGAAGGAGCAGCTGAATGAGAATCCTCTCAAGACACAAAATGTGTCTGTACACTACAAATAACATCACTACAAATAACATAGGCAAAAGCAGCATATAAATTCAATTCATCTTACAAGAATTAAACTGTCTTTACAGTGAACTGGCCTTCAGAATTTTAAACCCGAACAGCAATCTGTATATAATATAATGAACCTGTGAAAGTGGCTATTAAAAGAATTAAAAACTGGCAATTTGCTGTTCTTTCAGAAAATAATGGTCATTTTATTAGACCACATTCTTTGTTTGGTCATCACCTGGAATACCTAATGGTTTCCAGCATTTCACAAAATGTCACCTTTTATCACTACTGTTCTAGTAGGGAAGGTCGGGCCAAATATCAATCCAACAGAACAAAAAATTAAAAACATCTGTACATTTTACAAAGTTGCCCTCAGAAGAGTCTTTATTTTAGAAAATGTAATATATAGTGTGCTCTGTAATATACTGAGGGGTATTAAACAGTCTGGTAAGTAAAATGAAAAGAGCTCTTCCTGTTATCTTTTAAACCAACAAGTTCAAAAAGCTAGAGGTTATATATTTTGTATAATACATGCCTACTATTTTCTGTCATTTTGCAAAATTACTGGAAGTCATTCTGAGGAATGATTGAAAATTTATTCAGTTTGCCAAATGTGTGGTTTCACAATATGTCTGTAACGTATGTCAGAAATTGGTGCAAGAGCAGTTGTACATAAACAGAGGGAGTTGAATCAGATTTCTCTCTAATTGCTGAGTAATCATTCCTGAAGTTGCCCCAGGACTTTCAACTTAAATTTGGAGAACAACTGTACAAAATGAATAAGAAATTCTCCATGTACATGATCCCAAATAGAGAGCATGGTGCAACTGTTGCTGGAATAAAGACAAGAAAGACAGAATCCGAAGTCAAAGTTGAGCCATTTCTATCTGCTTAGAAAGTAAGTTTGGAGAACACACTCTCTCTGATTTTTAAAGTCTCAATGTATATATCAGTGCTTTCTCCATTTACATACACAGAATTATTTCTAATAAACTGCTTACTCTTTGCC